GAAATGGAAACGCCAGTGAATTAAATTGGGTGTGAGTAAACACCAGACAAAATTAGAGCGAGCGCCATCGCAATGATGTGTCTTTTCAGCTTTTTATGACTCTTTTTGCGAAATGATCCTGAATTGCGTTCCCCTTCCCATTCCGAATATGAAAACGGGCAAAGAATTATGGTTATGGCATTAAAAAAAGTAGCTTTGGCCAGATTTTAAATAAAGACAAGCAATAAAAATAATAATACACTAGTTTATACTTTTTTATACATGAAAACCTAAAATTTAATTAATAAAATTATTATTCATATTAAATATATATTAACTACTGCAAATTACATACAAAAATTTTAAGATACTGACTTATTGAGTAACAAAATTGAGACTTTCCTCTGCAGGTACAAAATTAAGTGGCCAAACCAGACAGAATAAACAAGAGGACGTTTAGACGACTGGTGAGAAGCACTCAGTGCTAAGATAATAAAAACATCAAAATATTAAATTGTCGCTTAGCATCCATCGGCTTTTGAGCTCAGTGACTCTTTATTTATGCTCCTCACTCCGAAACAGTCGCGCAGTCAAGGAATGAAGAAATTTGTTCTCTGATGGCAACTTAATAAGCTGCTAATATTTCATCATTTAAAAAGGATTTGCTTGCCAGTAAAATATTGGGTAAAAGCCGATGCATATAGTCACTCCGCCATCTGGACCCGCCGCTGTCAAAAAAGTACATATTATTATTCTGCGTCTCACTTATGGTTAAACCTTTTCACACTATTTCATGATTACGGCGGCGTTTTGGCCGCTTTGACCGCTACCCAGCGTATTAAAAAAGTATATATTTTTAAACTCTTTAGTGTTTGATCCGTGATTTAGGCACATGTACATTTTTTAACTTCAATTAAAAAAAGTGATGGAATGAAAAAAAAATTAAAACCTGTTGAAGCATAAAAAAATAATATTTTAAATTTTTGCTTATTATTAAGGAAAAATAAATTCAATGTGATTAATTTTAAGTAACGCTAACCTTCTCCATAATGTGGATTGCTCAAGGTTTTTCTCCAAATTTAAAAAGAATCACAGAATTTTTTTAAATAAACAAATAAATAAAATTCCCTGATTATGTCCAACATGTAAAAGTATTATTCAATATCAGATATCCAGAGAGCGATACAGAATATTATTAAAGAATTTCAAATTAGAGAAATCGTCGCCATCTCTCCGGCAGTTGTATCAACTAGCTCGGCGCCATCAGTTTTACGAGGGAAACTTGAATTGCGGTTGTTCACTTGTATAGGCCCAAGGAAACGATCCTTGTGGAGGCCAATACAAGCTGTAAGCATTTATATGTCTATAGTAACATAATTATATATTTTATTTTTGTTTCAAAAATTAAATGACATCAAACATCATGCATGGTTATTTTAAAAATAAATCCAAAGAACTTATTTTCAAGCATATATGATATGACACACTTTTATTGAAAGTTTATTTCATTTGTAGTAATATAAAAAATTGTAAATGATATGCCCTAAAATACAGATGGGATATTTTTGAAAATATAATAAAAAAATCTCTCTCTTGTCAGTCAGGTATTTCAATGTTTTTCGCGCAACATTATTTGAATTTGGCCCAAATGGTTATTTTGAACCATGCATTATATCTTGCTAACAAAATAGGAGATTCGGTTAATTTTTCAACAAGCATTGCTCACAAAGCATCTTTTGTTCGCACTCCAGATGTTGGTAATTTTGAGCAAGTAGAAGAGCGCGAAATGCTAGACTTCGCGCACCAAATGAGGCAAAATATGATCGCTGACGTCTTACGGCTTGTCTTACTTCCTGTGGAAAACATTAGACGTGAAATAGTCATACCTAATTATTTCATTACATTTATTATTTCGCGGTTTTGACTTTGTAATTTGAAAAGGAAAATTTCCCAAGCATATTTATAATTTAAATTTTAAATTCTTTTCCTCGCTGGTATATTTGAGGGAAATGACGCTTGTTGGTTTGCTTTTGAAAAATTCATAACAAGAGAAGGAAGCAAATTGCCGCAAAACAGAGCAAAAAGATTGGTCTACTCGCAAGAAGTGACTCGCGCTTGAAATGTAGGCAAGGCATGAGGCGATTGGGCCACTCCTTGCGATAAGAGCTGCGCTTTTCCCTGTCGTCGTCAGTCGACGGAAACTCTTGTTCCTAACAGCACACTTGCTCACTTGTGTCTCTCTGATGGACTCTTTGGATTAATTATTTTGGATACTCAGAGACTTCAGGCGATGGTCATTTTTTAAAATTGGTAAGCAATTTTTATTAAAAACAATGTACCAGAATTTAAAAAAAAAATGTAAATAACACTTAGAATTAGAGCGGATGTTAAAGAGGTTTTTTTATCTGATAATTGGTTGCATTTAAATTAATGCAAACTATATTAAATACATTTTAATCCATTACATTGGGCTGTTAACTTTTGTGTGACAAGTTTGTGACGCAAATAAATTAATTAAAATAATGGTGCTTTTTAGAACAGTCAGGAAGGATTATTGTTTTATGATTTCAGATTTTCTTGATATTTCCAGAATATAAAAGTTTCTATCTTACATCCGAAAACACCAGTAGTCATCCTGCGTGAATCATTTCTTTTGATGATGCATCAAAAGCTCGCGTGCAGGATAAAAGAAAGGTCAACAATTTCCCGCCACTTGCATTTTGCTTTGCGTAGGAATAATTAAATTATTTGCGTATTTTTCCAATGAGCTCATCGATGCAATTAGAAATCGCCTGCGGATATGAAACAATGATTGAGAAAAAATGAATTATAATGAAATAAAAATATATTATTTAAATTAAATAATAAAAAATAAAATCATTTAAAAAAAATTCAGAAATTCTTTTGGAGCCTGTAGTGAGCGACCTTGAGAGAGTTGTGGACAAGGCTGTAGTAGATTAATCGCAGCTCCTTCAGATAAGGGAAATACCCGGGGCAAGAAAGCCTGCCAAATGCTGGCTCTTCGCCGAACGGGGATTTCAACTTTCGTTTTAAAAACTCACACCGATTAAAAATTCTGCAGGTGGAAGAAAGTGCCGTTTAAGCGCAGCAACGCGCACATTTATTTTATTTTTTACTCTGTTGATTCTTTCGCTTGTTGACTTTCCATTTCGACTTCTCTTAAAAAGCTGCTCACATCTTGGAGGCGACTAACGTGCGCCTGTACATGATTATCATGCCGCTCCGTTCTCATCCTCTACACAGAGCGCGTATTACGAATGCGAAGTCACCGACCCATAGACCTATAGCCGCGGGATACATAAAAAGTATCGTCAGAAACATGTGTGCGACTCTTAATTTTTTCATTTCATTTCATCCTCCCCTAGCATTTTTCAGACTCGCGCTTGACTAGAATATTTATTATTAGCTGGCGCCTCAGTAATTCTATTCTCACGGAATATAAATTCACCAAAACGCGTTGTGTGGTAATTTTTTGGGAAAAAATTATGATGAGGGATATATTGGTGAATTTTTGTTTTGTTTTTAAAATAAAATAATATTTTTTTTTAAATATTTACCGACTTATTTACCATATTGAGAAGTATTTTTAATTATTTCATCTGTTTTTAATTCTAAAGAAGATAATTTATTTTAATTCAATTAGTATTCCAATGCTGGAACGAGTATTTCATTGTGATATAACGGCATTTGAAAATGATCCTTGCGAGTGCGGCAACGTTGAAGGCGAAGGGCAAGCTGTGCTTTTTATCGCTCAAATAAAGATCCTCTGCGCTTAACAAACGGATGCTGCTCTCTCGGCAAGGAAGTCGGAGCAACGACAAATGCCATTAGATTTCTAATTGTCACAGCCGCTGAAGACAAACTCAACACTTGCCCCCAAGACATTAAAAATAAACACACAACTATAATATTGTGGGAACCGTCAATTGATACTGCAAACATGGGTTCCAGCTCTTGTTTATCGTGTATAAAAACTATAGCTCTAGCTGATGGAATGAAAACAATAAATAGTTAAATATTGATCATTTAATTTATTGCGTCCTCAATAAATTTTAATATTTTTTTCCAAAATAATTTATCATTAACACTTGATAAAAATTAAATAATTATTATGCGTATTGAAATAAAATTTAGATTATAATATTTGAGCTTTGCATACAAGGTTTTTTTATATTATTTATTAATAAAAGTTTTGTATAATTATGTAATCAGCATTTCCCATGATTACTTATTTCCTGTTAGGAAAATTTATTTTTTCCAATGATAGCGTTTTACATGGTTTCCCAATGTGTATTTCAAAGGGGCAAGCAATTGAGTAGAATTGTTCCTTTAGAGTAAAGTACCAGCTGAATAGGAACTGGATGTGGTTTTGGTTACAGTATATCGCACTTTATCTCCAAACGCTGAATAATACAAAAATTTCCCCAGCCCCGCGTTTCTGGTTTTGGAATACAATACACGCCAGCAAAGCTATAATATCGGTTTCACTCCAAGTTGGATATAAATACGCGAGTGGCGCACTCAGCGCGTGGCCGCTGCATTTGTATTTTATAAACAGCAACACCGCCGACAGTAATAATAATAATCATAATAATAATTGCACTCTCGACTGTTGGCGCCAGGTGGCTTTGACCCGGTAACAAAGCAAAAGGAGCAGGTATGCAAATTCAGCGCTTTTCTCCGAGTGACTTTTTGCAATATCATTATCAATTATCATAGACGCATTTGATATTCGATAATGATAAATCTAAAAGGAATTCAGATAGGCTTTCTAAAGCATCATTCCGTCACTATTGTCAGATAACATAAGTTTGTTAGAGAACGGTAGAGAATAATTATCATAGTCCATTTTGCTGAAAATAAAAATATTTTTGTGGTTTTTTTTATTTTAATTTAGACTATAGAGGCGATAATTATTATATGAGTCCAGTTTCAAATTTGTACAAAAAGAACAACGCAATTTCTTTACAGTGCGAAAAAGTGTTTTGTGTAATTAAAAGTTCATGAAAATTCAGTAATAAATAACACGTCCCAGATTAAGATTAGGGCTCATTTGTACAATAAATGCCTGGTCTTATCTTATCAAAAGAGCTGTGACGAAATTTGTATTCGTCATTATCTGCTCAGGTTAGACTCCTATGTACATCTTTCTCGCACAAGTCATTGTCAGTTCGAGATAATGCACGCACACATTCGAATTAATGGAAAGTGAAACAATGGGCTTGTGATTGTCGCCCAATGAGCCGAAATGGTTCCAAACTCCGCGCCACTGGAATTGATGCGTAGGACTCGGAAAAGGGTTGCGTCCCGATGGAACGAGCTGTGAGTCACAATAATTGTAAAATGACCTCGTTTATGGGGAAACCAAGCTATTCCGATAAGCCGCTGGTCTTGTGACACTTTGCGTTCTCATTGTTTCTTTATTTAATTATCAATTAAATTCAATACTGGTTTGGTTTTTAAATGACCCACTTATCTAAATATTATTCTCGGTTTTGGTTTGAAAAAATGGTTGTTGTTTTTTAAAAAAGAATACTATTTATAACGATGACTTCATTTTTGTGTAAATTTAAACTGGTTAAATTCGCAGAGATTGCAGTAAATGCAAAATGACTGTCGACAACGCAAATGGGACTGCCGGCAAGTCGTCGCCGAGGCCCCTGAAGGTGACCGCCGTCGGAGATGGTATGGTCGGCAAAACGTGCCTCCTCATCACATACACCAACAAGAAGTTCCCAAATGATTATGTACCCACTGTGTGAGTAATTGTTGTCTTTAAGATAAATTTCATTGACGTTATTCACATTCGTCAAATTCACTAAATTTTTTTTAGCATTTACGCACGTTAAATAATCAGAACTCTGATAAGCAAAACTATCAATCTTTAAAATGAATTTTATGTGATGTTATTTTAATTTCAGATTTGATAATTATGCCGACAATATTGAAGTCGAGGGACAAGAGTACAACATGACCCTGTGGGACACCGCCGGACAGGAAGACTACGAGAGACTCCGGCCCCTTTCATATCCTAATGTAAATTTTGTACTTTTATATAATTTATCTGTGCATTTATAAAATTCACCATTAGACCGATTGTTTCCTGTTGTGCTTCTCGATCGGCAGTCGCAGTTCATTTGAAAACATCGCGACAAAGTGGTATCCAGAAATCAGGCACCACTGTCCACATGTCCCCATTGTCCTAGTTGGTGGGTTTGGTTGAAATAAAAATAAAAATTTTGTCTTAAAAGGTTTCCTTTTTTTAAATAGGGACAAAGGTGGACTTGAGGAGCGACCCCACTCAGGGCTCAGACGCGGCTGTCGTCTCCGTGCAGGAAGGTCGCAGACTGTGCAAACGAATCAAGGCAGTGACCGTGGTCGAGTGCTCGGCCAAGAGCGGCGAAAACCTGACAACAGTCTTCGAGTCTGCGGTGCGAGCGGCAACCAAGACAAAGCCCAACAAGCAGTCGTCGTGTGCTTTGCTGTGAGAGAACGTCTTCCGCTTTTTAGTCATATGGACTTGCAAATTTTAAGAAAAATGAAATCAGTGCCACGCAGTATGAAATAGTTACATGTATATCAACCGCATTTTAATAATAAGCCTTATTTACGTAAATGTGTGAATCAGTTTGTCTTTGAGATTTATATGCATAATATTTCTTGTCATAAATTCCTTCAATGCCAAAAAGTTACGGTTTAATAAATTTGTATTAAGAAATTGCGCGTTTACATTAAATTGGGATAGTCCTAAGTTATAAGCTGCAATTCATAAAAGTTTCTATTATATTGATTTATTTACAATTCATTTCAGTTGGAGTTCAAATAGAGTTAAATTAGCTTTGAGTTAAACTGCTAAAATCACTTAGAATAGAAGATTATGTAGACAGAAAGAAATCAATGTTAAGCAGTAAAATGAATCTTTGTTGACGTATTATGAGCTACTTTTAAGCAAAATGTGAAATGACTAAAATCAGCGGTGGTTGATGGTTAGGGTGCCGCAAAGTATTGAATTGTCGTCAAGGTCCTTGAAGAAGACGGCCTTGTCTGCCAGCTCGTTAAGATTCACACCCAAGGAGGGCAATTGGAAGTTCGAAAAGCCAGAATTCACGAAAACCTCTCTGAGGTACTCAACATCCTAAAAAAGCAACAATATTAATCTTAAAAATAATTTATTTTTTATTTGTAAAATAAGATAAAATAATAATTAAAAAAATATATATTTAACACAAAACTCTTTTTACTGTAAGACTATATTTTAAAATGCTTGTGTTTTTCCATTTTATTTTTAAGTTAAAAAAAATTACCAGCGGCAATTCTGTGAATTCGCTGCACCGTCGGCCTTTGCGGTCAATGTACATGTCGTATACTCCTTTTTCTTTGGGCGCATTAAACGTCACGTTAACCCTGGGCTCAGGGTTGCCCTTGTTATCGTGAAACTGCTTCATGCTAAGCATCGAGGGCTCCACGTTATCTGCTCCAGGGGAAATTAAGTTGCTGCCCAAATTATGCTAAAATTCAATTATGTTTTGTAATCAATTTAATTAAATTGCTTGAATTTTGAAATATTTTAATTAATGTTGTTTTTTTTTCACAAAAATATTAAATTATATTTTGTGAATTTCAAGTTAAATTCTTTGAGTATATGTATATTAAATTATATTATAATTTGAAAGTTTCACTCAATGCAGTTTTTAATTCCAAAGTTTTTCTTTCTTTTTTAAAGTGTGAAATTACCTCGTATTTAATATTTTCAGTCTCTTCAATAGCTCCTCCTCTGCTTGGCACCTCAAATTTGGTCACTTCGCCCAACCCTACTCCTTCCTTGCTTGAATTTTGCTCTTCCTGTTCTTTTCCCTCCGTCTCATCTGGTTTCGCTGCAATAACAGATTCATAGTCATCATAGTCGGGAACGGTGTGCTCCACTTCATTGGTGCCACCACCCTTCATTCCAAAGGTAAGATCTGTTAGTCCAGGACCTTTTTCCAACTCATCTTCTCCCTTTTTCGCTGCAGCCTCGTGTTCATTTTGTACCACTGCTGGGACAATTACAATTTCATCCTCTCCGCTCTCCCGTTTTTCTGCAGAATCAGATTTTCCTGTGATAATAATTTCTCCCAAAGCATTCTTAGAGCTCGATTCGGAATTTGCGAAATTGTCAGAAGCGGCCAAAATTTCTGATGACTCGGATTTGCTTGGTTTAGAAACAAAATCAATGACAATTTTTTCTTCGTCGTTATTATTTCTTTCCTTTTCAGCTTCATTTTGCGCGTTGGCTGTTGAAGGCAAAATTTCCATTTCTCTAAAATTATCAACTCCTGGATTTCGCACTGCATTTGCATCTGTATTTTCAACCTGCGTCTCTTCTACTTCTTCGGATTTGCTCGTTATTGAAAAGGTAGGAACGATTATCGGCATTTCATTTTCTTGTTCTTGACTCTTTTGCTCTCCATTAATAATTTTTTCATCTGATACTTCCTTCTCAATTTCTTCCGACTTAATTCGATCATTTCCCTCTGATTCCTTTGAATTTAAAAGTTCGACCACAGTTTCCTTTCCTTTTTCGTAAGCTCTCTCTGCCGCCGAAATTATTCCTCCCAAAATTCCATTTTCTTCAGATTTATTCTTTTGATTGTTTTTAACTTCCTCTTCAGGCTTTCTTTCGTGCCAGGATGAAATCTTTTCATCTGCAGATGCTGTATTATTTGTTTCAATCACAATAGATGGCCCCTCATTTTCTTGCTCACCAATTATTTCTTCACGGATGTCTTTTTCTTCATTTTCTCTCTCAGGTGTTTCAAGATTTGACACTAAAATATTTTCGTCTTTATCTTCCCTGCTGACGTGCTCCTTTGAATTATCTGCTATTTCGGCATTTACTGTTTCTGTAATTTCTCTGAACCAATTTGAATACTCAGTGGCTGCTTCATTCTCTTGTTTTACACCCTCTTTCTTTTCCTCACTTTCTTTTTCAGCCGCTTTTTTCAAATCTAAAAGCTCATCAATGGCGCTCTTAACCTTTTCACCGGTGTTTGCAACTTCAGAAATAATTCCGCCAAAAATTTCTTTCTCCTGCGAGCCACTTTCTTTACTCTCCGTTATATCTTTGTCCGTCTTTTCCAATTTTTTCTCCAACCAGGTCGCAATCCCGCCAAAAGCAGATCCCGTTTCTGATGACGTTTTTTCTTTGCGATCTTCATACATTCCTTCAATTTCTTTAGCGTTTCCAGGCGTTTCAAGATTGGAGACCAAAACATTTTCATCCTTTCTATTATTTGCCTCTTCTCTGCTTTCCTCGTGCTCCCTTAATTGATCGATTTCAGCTTTCACGGTTTCTGTTATTTCCCTGAACCAATTTGAATATTCAGTGGCCGCCTCATTTTCTTGTTTATCCTCTTCATTGTTTTCCTCTCCACTTTCTGTTTGCTCATTATCAGTTTTTTCTGCCTCAACAACTTTTTTCAGGTCTAAAAGCTCATCAATGGCACTTTTTACCTTTTCGCCCGTGACAGAGACTTCAGAAATAATCCCGCCAAAAATTTCTTTCTCCTCGGAGCCACTTTCATTAATTTCCGTGCCATTTTCCTCTGGCTTTTCCAACTTTTTCTCTATCCAGTCAGTCACTTGGGCAAAAACAGTTCCTGCTTCTGATTTTCCTTCATCGGTCTCCGACTCGCCTTTGCTATTTTTTACTGCTTTTTGTTTTTCCAGCAGCTCTTCAAAAACATCTTTCACTCTTTCCGAAACGGTCTCTACTCTTGAAATAATTCCGCCAAGACCACCTTTGCCTTCTTCGTCCTCACCGTCTGGCTCATAATCGTAATCTGTAGCACCTGTTTGGCCCTTTTCAACAGTCTGCGTCTTTTCCAAGTACTCAATTTCTTCAGAGTGTGTAATTATGCGCCGATTATTCAGGTCCAACGATTGATCTTCTTCAGCTCCAGGAACATTTGAATTTGGTGCTGCTGTGGTTCCTGGTATATTATTTTCCATTTGGGTGTCACGATGTCCTATTAATAATATCAAATCGTCATTCGTATCCCTGCCTTCTGATTTTTCTACGCTCTTAATTTCCTTTTGCTCGTCATCAGTTTCAGTCAAATTTGACTCCTCCAAAGCAACTCGCTCCCTTTCAGCAAAAATTATATCAGGCGTGAGAATTTCACCGGAATAACTCTCTGTTTTATTTAACTTTTCCAACTCACTTTCAGTTTCTTCCTGGATAGTTTCCAAACTTGAATTATTATTTTCCAACTCTTCCTCAGAATTTTCCAAAGCTAAAGTTTTTTGCCCGCTTAATGTGGGAATTGCCTCTGTTGTAACGAGAACTTCATTCTCCTGGCTCTCTTTGCTTTCACTTTCCGAGTCAGCAGAAAAAGTTTGAATTCTGTTTTTGTTATCAATTTTTTTTCCGTCACTCTTAATTATGATAGTTGGCACAGGCGTTGTTGCTTCTTCACTCAAACTATTTTCAGTTGTAGTTATTTGCAAATCATATTCATTTTTCCCGTCAAAAATTTCCTCCGTCTCTTCTGCACTCGTTGGACCCTCGGTCGTGTTCCCACTCTCACTAATATTACCTTTTTCCTCAGCATTAATTTCTGTTGTTGTACTGCTTTCAGGCTCTTCAGTAATTATTTCACCACTCAATATATCAATCTTGACAATTGCTTGTGGGTGAATTGTAGTCTCTGATGTTTTACTTGAATTTTCTTCTGCCAATGAAGTTTCTTTTGCACCCACCCTTGGTATCGGCGTGCTATTTTCTGCATCATTTTCTCGTGTTTCAGATAGCTGAGCATTATTTTCGAGCGCTTTTTCCTGGTTCATTTCATTATGCTCTTGAATTTCGCTTTCGCTCTCCTTCGCAGCCTTTTCAATGGATAACTCTTCAGTTCCCTCTTTTTTTTCTTCAAAAACTCTTTCGGGCGTATAATCCAAAATCTTGGGTAACGTTTCTTTGTTTTCTTTGCTTTCGGGCGTTATTTTCTCGAAACTGGCAGCGAAATTTGCACTCTCTATTTCCTTTGGGAAAGTTGTAACTTCTAACTCTATAGTTGTTGTTTCAATCTCATCTTCATCACTTTTACTTTCAGTGTGTTGGGGGTGCGCGCTTGACTCTGTAGTGGCATACTCGGGAGCATTGATTTGTCCATCCGCTTCACTCTCGCTGTTTTCATTGGTCTCTGTCGATTCATCTCCACTACCAGCACGTGCAGATTTTTCGCCACTTGTATTTTCAATTTCAATTTTTTCAGCTTCTTTTTTATCTCCTTCCTCGTCTTCTCCATTATTAAAGCTGAGAGAACTTTTAATTTTTTCAACCAAACCGTAAATTGCAGTCGTAACACTGCTCTCTGTAGTGAAGCCTCTATCTGGTTGGTTTTCTTCAATAGGCCTAGATGAGATTTTCAGCAAGCCCAACTGTGCGCCTATTTCACGAAAACTTGCCCTGAAGGGCCACTCGGTAGTGGTCACTTCGATTTCACTTTCTTCCTCTTCGTTATAATTTTGTTCAGTCTCAGATTCAACTTGTGCTTCAGTTGTCACAGACGTACTTTCAGTTGTATCTTGCTCTACTTCCACGTTATTTTCCTCCGAGCCTCTTTTAGGTACATTTTCATTGATGACAATATCAACGGCTGCGCTGTTATCCCCTGCCACACTTTCACTTTCGGTCGTTGAAATCACCTCATTAAAGTTTTGCTCGTTTGTCTCACTTGAAGCACTAAGCTGCTGAACGTTTTCTGAAGATTCGCTACTTTTCTCAAAAACGGGCAAATTTTGATTTCTATCAGCTTCTTCTTCTCTCCTTTCCATATTTTCAATTTCCAAAATTTGCCCTGCTTTGTTTGGAACTTCCAATAGAGTGACCGAATTATTTTCTCCTTGCTGACCATTTTCAGAACAATTGTTCCCAACCACAATATCACGAACTTCGTTCAAATTATTGATAATGTCGTTGATTGTGTCAGAAACTAGGTGTTTATTCTCCGCTGGCGTTTTTTCAGTCGTCTGCTCTTTGTGCTGATCCTCGATTTTTTCCTTTCCGATTATTGAATCCACAACGCTCCTGAACGACCACCCACTATTGGTCCCCTCGTGATTTGCGCTTTCGTTTTCATCGGTACGGATGTGGTCGGTGAAGTTCAAGGCTATGCCAAAGTCCTCCACGTCCACCCTCAGTTTGTGATACAGCTTTCGAAGCACTTCCCTTTGCGTTTCATTGGCTATCGGGAGACCCTCAGGGTGGCCAAGGTTCAAGTACAATGTCACCAAAAGCAATCTGAAAAAACCATCCATAAAATCCCATCTGAGTTGTAAAACAAAATTTATTATTCTAAAAAGCTTAAAAAATTAGTATTAAATTGTCATTTTTATTCGACTTTATTTTGTTGTTGAAAAAAAATTCGCTGCTTATTACATGTAAAGTTTAAATTTATTATGTATGACAATGTATGATTACCAAATCTATTTAAAAAATAATTTATATTTAACTAACATAAGTAGCTCGTAGAAGAGTCATTTAAATTAATTTAATTATAAAAAGTTCAAACATGAATTTAAAATTGTATGTATTTTATCATTATTATAACTGTAGTTAAAGTATTAAAAATTTAATGTAATTTTTTCTATTTATAAACATAAATTCTTTTTGTTACTATCATTATTAAGTTTTAGTTTCGTTTTATTACGTATTATTTTAATATTATTATTTTCTTAATTTTTTTAAAATTTAAATCATGTGTCTCTATATTTGTTTGCAAATTTCAATGGAAACACAATTTTTGCCCTATTAATTATTAATGACATAAATTTAAATATTGTATTGATTAGGCTTTTACACATATATTTGCAATTAAGACAATGAGCAAATTTTGTTTTATCAAAATTAAAAATCATGGCAATACAGTACCGAAAGCTTTAAATTTTTCCAAAAAGCTACACAAATGAGAAAAAGTTAAACATTTTTTTAAAGTGCGTATGTACTTACAATTGACTGGGACGGAGCATGTTGCCTCCGCGGCACAGCCCACATAAATAAATGGATGTGCCTAATGCTGGCTATAAATAGGGGAAATGGTCTCACTCTCACCACGAGCAAAAGAGTCTAAAGCTCCAGCTGAGGATTCAGAGCACGAGTCACGTCTCTTAAATTATGTGATTATCTAATGATAATGTGATGCAAAAGGGGACGCATTTTAACACACACCCGCGCGGCTAGGCTCTCGCTCGGTAGGCGCGGATGCAGCGCACACATTATCTAAATGTGTGTGCATTTGGACTTGATGAATTCGCCAAGGAGGCGAGAGAGTGAGAGCGACGTCGCCGAGCAGTCTGCCAATTTACGTCCTTGACATAATTAATGTGGCCTTAATGCAGAAAAGCGCGCCGGTCTAAATTGGTCATTATACGCATCCCTAGGTTGACCCGCAGCGATTTTATCATTTGCATATCCCGTTACAAATCGAGAGCACAGAGAGGCGCGCAAGCACCCCAGCCGCAGCAGTTCGACGTCGTAATGATGATGGTGCATCAATATTGCGAGGATGTGTGTCCAGTGGGAAGCTGTTAATTTTGAGCCACACTGCTATCGCACAATAATCGCCACAGGAAGTTGGCCCGACCCTTCATTTGCATTATTTTTGCATACCACGCGAATAAATCTTGAGATGCAACCGAGACGTAGACGCTTCTAGTGCTGGGGCGGGCTAATGGAACTTCCCGCGCTAAAAGCTTCCTCGGGACTAAATTATGATTTATGATGTCATATAGTCACTTAGCATTATATTGTCATAGATGAAATTTTATTAGCTTCTTAAAATTTAAGTATCAAACATTCAAGAAAGTTCTGACAATGACAAGCGATCATACATGAAATAGCTATAAGTATAATTATGTATTTTAACCCCTGCAATAGCGTATGTATGCAACACGCGCTGCACTAAAAGTTAGCAAGTTGCATAAATAATTTCAATTAATTCTCACAATCTTTATTATTATTGCTATTGCACTTCAATTTTTGAATAATTTTGAATTAATATATTTATTAACTTTTAGTGAACCATTTTTAAGTAATATGTTTTTCTGAAAAATAATGCTCACTTTATTTTCATTTGTGTATTACAAAAGCAATCATTGTAGAAAAACAAATATTTAAATGAACCGACCGCACGCCAACATTTGTGATTGACCGCTGGGTTCCAATCTAATCACGGACAATGAGCTGCTCCTCAGATCTCTCACGCTTGACAGCGACGAGGGAACCTTGAACCTCTCGTGCCGCATGTTGACGGGCAGGGTCACCAAAAGCTCTGAGACCTGATACAAAAATAAGGAATTTGAATTTACAATATTATTCAAATATTTAACAATCGGCTCACGTCATTGGAGTCTCCGCAGATGGTCTTGTTGCCGACTTCAAAGGCGTAGTCGTAACCAGCCGGAAGACCGAAAGTGTGCACGTTCATGAGCACTCTCACGTCGCAGCCCTCGACCTGCGAGACCTGCACTCTGGCTCCGGCCAAAGGAGTGTGCAGTTGGACGGGCCTCAAATACGCTGTGACGGCCGTGGGCAGCTAAAATGATATAAATTAAATATTAAGAATAAAATTAACAGTCTGATAAAAAAGCTATACATGATCTAGATGCATAAAATGCAAAAATAAAAAAAAAGATTGATGATATAGTTGATAGTTTAGTTATTTTTACCCTGCGAATGGCGCAGTCAGGAGAGAAGTCTAATGAATTGAGAACATCTCGATTTAATCCCTTGATAGGCTGCGTCTTTCCAAACAGCTGCAATCAAATAATTTATTTATACTATAAACTACTTTTTTTGTATAAAAATTTATACGTCAGTTGAGCATGCTTGAGTTCTGTCCTTCAAGCAGCACTGCGAAGTGGCTCCTCCAACACAGCAAACGGTGTCTTCGTCCAAAAAGTACGTCGCCAGTCCTTTCATTTTGCATGTTTCAAACGCCTCAGAACTGACGTCATCTTTTTCGTCCTGATCCGCCCTAAACGCCGTCGGACTAGTCTGAGGGCCCATGGGAATAAACTGATTTGGCATGGGGGCACTTTCTATGCGCGATGGAGGCGTCACTTCAGGCCTCTCTGGGATTGCTGCAATTTTTATGTTTAAATATATTAATACATTTTAAGTTGCATAGGGTTTTGATCTGACCTCTATGGTTCGTTTGATCGTCGGCGCGCATCACGTCCTTGTGCGAGCTGTGATCATGCGACTCGTGCGATTTGTGATCATGGCTGGAGCTGTGGATGTGCGCTTTTTTGTTGCCATCGCCTCTGTACTTTTCGTGGATTGAAAATGACTCTGAGGAATACTCAGAACTTCCTCCAATTCCGTAATACTTTCCCTCGCCCATGGGACAGTTGTAGCAACAAGGCAAATGCTTTGGCGCCTCATACTTCAAAAAAAAAAAAAAAAAATCAAATTCCAAGAACCAATTCAGAATTTTGTAATATTGATTTACCTGGACGTGCTTGGCAATCTGTTTTACAAAACAAACAAAAGGGTTGTCTTTTTTACAACAAAATGCAGTATTCGCGCCGTACGGACAGCAGCGCATATCCCCTTCTTCCCATGGATACGACCCATCGGTGCAAACCATATTGTCTGCCCCGCACATAGTCATTTCAATTCCTGCCGGGTAAGCAGAACCAGCATTTGTTGATCGCACGTGAAGCCACATCAAAAATGACGAACATAGCAAGCTAAGCAAGATTTTAATAATTAATGAGAAATTTTTTTAAAGGTATGGTCAAAATGTATTTAGGTTAATTAATGAGCAAAAAAAAAAATACTTACTATTTTAAAGTCATTTTGTGCCCTGGAAACTGCATGATGGCACTGCTGTTACTAATTAAGTGCGATTCTTTTCTGCTCTGGCTTTTTAATACCTCGCGATAACGTCTTTGTTGTAGAAAATAAATTTTTGCTGAATATGAAAAATTTAATCGTGATTTTATGCGTAGCTTATTCAGGTAAGTAGGTAAATGGGTTGTGACCTTGCACCATAAAGTGCACACAAATCACTTAAAATATATAGGATTTTTTACAAAAACTTTTTTACTTGCAGAGTAAATTAAGTACTTCCTTTATTATTTATGTTTTGGAGAATGTGAAATGTGAATACATTTATACAATCTGGTGGATTTAAATTTCCAAATTTTCAATAGCTTTGAGCACTTTTCCATTTTCTTGGTGGCTGCCGTTCTGCTGCAGAGACCCCATAACTTGGTCGTGGACGAATTTCAAGTCCTTGTTGATCTCAAGCATATTTTTGTATCTGTCGTTCCATTCTCCAAGACACTCGGCCATGATCTTCAACCCAACCTCACAGTGGACGATGGCTTTCTCGGTCAGCCTGAATCAAAATTTAATATAAGAAGCATTGCAGCTTAATTATTCCTTACTTGAGGATTTCATTAGTGACTTCCGAGGATGTGATCGCTTGTGCAATGGACATCATAGTGGAAATTACGCCTGCAACCTCAATTCCGTCACTGCCGTACTGAGCTTTAGCGAGAGTTAAGCATTCTTCCATCAGGTTCCAAGCAGCAATGTAATTTCCTGCACATGAAACATTAATACGGGTGTTTCAAAAATTTTCAATAATTTACCTTTTCTGACATATAGCATGGCAAGTTGATCGATTGCTTGAGCGATTTGGCAGTTGTTGGGATGCAAGAAAGATTTCAGATGGTTCACATACTTGATCTTGTTTTTGTTCAGCTTGTCAAAGGCCCCACTTCGATGAAGCTCTTGAGATTCTGTAATTTTATAAATCAAAAATAGTTCCAAAAAATGAGGATAGTTTTACCTTGAAGCAAAACTTTTTCAGTGTTGACATTTTCCATGACCAAATCCATTTCTTCGTTAGTGAAAATGTGGTCGCACTTGAGGCAAATAGAATCACCATTCTGAGCAATGGCCGGTCCTTTGCATTTGACACACATGAGGCTGTGGATGCCTTCGGAATCCTTCATACAATTTTTCAATAATTCCATTGTAATAGAATTTATCAAATTTATTTATTACCAGAAAGTCAACGGATCTTTGGCAAGGAAGGCATTTGCAATCGAACATGTACTGCTCCTTGAGGTGGCGCTGCCTCTTCTCAGTTCGCATGGCCCTGTAGTAGATTCCATAGCAGTTGAAAACCTCCTCTCCCGCTTTGATGTCACGGACAGCTTTGGAAATCACCGAGTTGCCAAAATAACTAAAAAATTTATTGCAGTTATAATCTATTAAAATAACACTATTTTAAATTAAATTACCTGGTGAGGATGTTTGGATCGCAAGAGTGGTTCATCATGGAAGCTGAGGGAAAAATTGCCGTCGCAACTCTCACTTGCTTCTCCTCCTGCAGAATTGGCCCAGCCACGGTCATCCTGTCCTGTCCGAACAAGTGAGAAGTGATGGCGTTTCCGTTGCAGACCAACTGGGTGATGTGCTTCATCACCTTCGATCCAAACTTGACAATGAACTGGTTTTTCTCAGCAGATGCCAATTTTTTCCTTCTGGCAACGTCAACCGAAAGGAGCAAAGACGTCTTAAAACATAATAAATAAATTTCAGTTCGTTATTAATACAAAGTATCTACCAAGGAATACTGAAGTTTGTCTTCTGGTGTCATGTCTGCAATGTGGGTCACCAAACTGCACACTTTCTGATATTGTTTGATTTTTTCTTCGTCCCCGGTACTTTCGTAGATTTCTCCCATAAGCGCCACTCGCAAGCCAAGCCAGGCGATTCCGACATGCTCCGGCAGATTGGATCCACACTCCCATTGATGATAAGGCTTGGCTTCTTCCACACACTTGAAAGTGCAGTAACGGGTGGTGTTGCAAGTGTCGCAGGCTATGAAGTTCACCTCCGACCTTTTGGAAATCATTTTTAAGTTACAATTTCAAAATAAATTTTATTTTCTTACTCATTCCCAAAACTATACAAAGGAGCACAACAGTGATCACAGTGAATTTGAATTCCTCCGCAAGGGACAGACGTAAATGCTTCCTCTTTGAAAAGAACATCACCTTTCTGGAAGTCTTTCAAAGCGACGACATGACGTCCCTTCTCTTCATTGGTTCTGTTAATGGAAATAATTAATTTTTTTTTTATATTTTTAAATGATTTAAAAACTAACTGGATTTCTAATACACTAGAAGCGCCTGGAAATTGGTCACTTTCCCCATACTTCAGACTTATGCTACTCTTGAGCAACTCTCTTTCTTTTGCCAACTCCTCGTTCAGATTGTTTGCGTAGCTGCTCTCCTCTTCATCCACAATTTTTGCAGGGCCTGATGGTGCACCGCTGGCAAACTTTGTGTGCCAAGCATTGATTCTCTTTCTGAAAATTTAAAAAAAAATGTATAAGCTTGTGAATAAAGACAAAACCATTAAGACTTGTACCTAAAAATGTCAAAACTGTAGACCATCTTGATGATTTCTTCCTCAGTCACCACGGACTGGAAGTTTTTCCATCTCTCTGCATGCCTTTCGTTTTTAATCTCCTCCGTAAATAGGTCTAGAATACTTTGCCATGGAATTTCTCTAGGTTGCGCCATTTCTTGATTGAAGCTCTCAAAAAGAGAATAATTAGTTTTCTGAAATTTGAAGAACAAAAATCAGTTAAAAAAATTTTATTTATGTGCGGAGACATAATTAAATAATTTTTATACTTTTAACTAATTAAAGATAAAAAAAAATTATATAATACTTAATGAACAAATCTTTTGTTTCTTAAAATTTATACTGTACGTAATTGAAGAAAATAAAATTACTGTGGAATTTTTTTGTTATTTTATACCGGCCCTTTGATGAGTTTCAAAAATTTAGATCTTCTCCAAGCTTTTCGAGTGAAATTTTAGTATTAATTTCGTTGGATGATTAATCCAAGCAAATTAATGAATTTCAGTTATCGAAATGTACACTTAAAATTTAATTTTAGGCTTATTACCGGGTAGAAAATTGCTGAAAACAGTTGTGAATTTGTCACCACCCTCACGGCAGCCCCTCGGCTTGTTTTCGCTTCGCTTCGCCCATATGACAGACCTGGTCATCGAGCGCATGCGCACAACCCATGTGATTTTGTTTTGTGATTTTTGCCGCATTTCTATCGGTAGCTCCATAACATGTTCAGATTCTGTCAAAACTTGTTTTAAATTTGCCAGTTTTGGCTTCCGACAGCGGCACGCTTGAGATGACTCACAATCAGTCCTCAAGGAATGCGATGAAGTGGTGATTGTTGTCTATATCTCGTCGTCCATTTGTACTTTTCATCGCTGTCATTGACGCTTTGAGCCACGATGTCGAAGGCTCACGTGTTGGGTTCAGAGGACAGGACCCAGGATGTCCAGATAAATGAAGATGTGACCTTTGAGGGGCTAATATTGTCCGATGGGACCCTGAAAGGCCTGCAAGAGTCGGGCTTTGAAAGGCCGTCGCCAATTCAATTGGTCGGCATTCCTCTTGGAAAATGTGGATTTGGTAAGGAATGTTAAAAAATTACGAATCGAAAACAAAATAATAATTAAATACATCGATTTTTTTATCATTAAATTTTTACGCTTAGCTTTTACATTAATACATAATGGCTCAATTTAAGTGCTATGTACATAGGTACTCCATGTATACCACCAATTGGGTCCTTTACATAATTATCCGGATCTTAAAATAATATGATGTTCTGTTTATTTGTAATAGATCTGATTGCTGAAGCCAAATCTGGAACTGGGAAAACAGTCATGTTTGGCGTGGCAGCACTTGAAATGCTCCAGTTGCCTAGCAAAAGTCTCCAGGTAAATTTTCTAACGTTACAGATATTTTAAAAATTCAACTAAAAAAATTTGTGCAAAGGTTTTGATTCTGACGCCAACTCGAGAAATTGCTGCCCAAGTTGGCGACGTCTTGGTCAGCATTGGACAGGGCCATGAAGGCCTTAAGATTGGAGTCTTCATAGGTGGCTTGCCTGTCGAGGAGGACAAGAGACGAGCAAAGAACTGCCACATTGCTGTTGGAACCCCAGGGCGGCTGAAACACCTTATAGACGATGGCCTGCTTAACGTTGGCCATGTTAGATTGGTAATCATTGATGAGGCTGATAAACTTCTGGAGCCTTGCTTCGAACCAGATATTAGGTAAATATTTAACTATTTATGGTTATTATCTTTACAACATTTGGATAATAACAATTTCAGTCACATCTTCAAAACTTTACCTCTGAACAAGCAAGTGATTGCAGCTAGTGCTACTTACACACCAGAACTGAAACTCTTCCTAGAAGACTACATGAGGAGTCCCATTAGAGTTAACCCTGAGGAGGGAAAGGTAAATTTTTTTTGGAAACAATCATTATTATAAATAATTATAATTTTTGTAGCTAGATGAAAATGTTGCTGTTCTGCTGGGTGTGCGGCAAGTGGCTGCTCTTGTGCCTTCACACCCAAATTACCTCACAAAATCCAAGAATAAACTTAATGCACTCATTTCTATTTTGTCAAGTGTTCCTTTCAAGCAGTGCATTGTGTTCAACAACTCTCATGGAGTGTGAGTCATTTTTAAATCAATGATGTGTTAAATTTAAATTATTTACTTTTATAGCGCCCAGACAATAAGTGAAACTTTGAATTCTAAAGGCTGGCCTACGGAGTTCATTTCAAGTGGCATGGACCAACCATCAAGGCTGAGAGTTGTCAAAAAGTTTTTTGACTATGAGTGCAGAATTCTGCTTTCCACTGACCTAGTCTCAAGAGGAATCGATGTGGCCAACGTCAATTTAGTGGTAAATTTTGAGCTTTGTTTATTATTATTATTATTATTAAATTATTTTTTTTTTCTGAAAGTTAAAAGTAATGAATTAAGAAAAGATAAGAGATTGTTTATTTTGAAAGAAATTCTAATCTAATTTTAGGTTAACTTGGATGTGCCAATGATCACAGCCACATACCTGCACAGAATTGGACGCTCGGGGCGTTTCGGCACTCAAGGATTGGCAATCACAATTGTGGAAAGTAGCAGCAAAGATTTGGTCAGACTCTTGGGCATTGTGAAAGACCTCAACATTACCATGGGCTGCATCAAAATTGATTCGGCCAAGCCATTTCAGGAGAATCTGTTTACCTGCACCTTCCCCACTTTGCAGAGCGAAGTTCCTGTGGAATTGGTCAGTAAGGTTGAGTCTCCCCGGTCGGCCAAAAGCAAGAATGACATTTTACAAGAGAATGAAAGTGAAGTGGAGACCGACGAAGAGACTGAAAGCTCTAGTTCTTGTGAAGGAGTGGAGCCATTGGCCGTAGACAAGGATGAGGAAAAGGATTTACCTGAGGAGATTTGCAAAGTCATGCTAAAGTCAGCTCTCTCCTCTGTCAAAGATACTGAAACCAACCTCGAGGTAGAACTTCAGAAGGAGCTTGCGGAAATGCAAAGTGCTCCGTCGGAGTATGAACCGCAAACACCCCCAAAGCAACATTCAGACTGGCGCCAAAATGGGCATCCACCCCAAAACACCTATTACAACAACAACCATCACAATTACTCTCCTAGAAGTCTGCCTTTTGCCTCCCCTAGGAAGAACATGTCTCCTCAATACAAGAGAAATGATTACTCGCCAAACTTCCAGCGAAGGGAATATACTACTCCCTCGTCCTCCCCCTACTACACACCTTCAAAGGACTACTCGCCTTCCACTCGGTTCTTCAACTCACCTCTCTCCTCCAGAGGAGACTCCTCAGTTTCCAACAGTCCTTTTTCGTCTCCAAGGAAAGATTTTGCTTCTCCATTCAGTGCTGACAAGTTCGTCAAAAAGTACACCAAGTTCTTTGATGAAAATGATCATCAGGAGTTTCAAGCCAAGAGACATGAAAACTTCACTCCCAGAGTTTTCTCTGCTCAACAGCAACAGTACTTCCAGCAGCAGTTTGAAAATTCTCTCAGGGAATTAATGAAGGACATCAGAAGTTATCAGCCGCCAAAGGTTGAGCAAGTTTTGGGATACGAGGAGCTGGAAGCCCTGAGCAAGCAGTTTGACAAATCGGCCATGGTCAACCCAGCGTTTGAAAGGAGGGATCCCTATTTCAATCGCAAGTCTATTCTCTCAGGCATGGGCAGGCACTTGGGTGTGCTGTGCAACATTACCAAACGGCATTTCGTCTTCAACGGAGGTGTCAAAGGGTACCTGCAGAAACTGGCTGATGGATACGAGCCAAAGGAGTCTGACCTTCCCACGTGGGAGCCTGGAGCAGATGGATTCAGGGTAGGATGAATTTCAATTTTATATAAAAATATATTTTTTTCCAATTTGGGTCCTAAATTGTTCCTCATTTCAAAATAATTATAACTATTATTTTCAATTGTCAGCAATTATATTTTAAAAGATTTTATAATTAAATGACAGCAATGGAAAGTAAACATTGATTGAACTTAAAATTATTTTGTTTGTTTCAGTTTCATAATAAAAAATTATAGGGATCAAGTTATGTATTTGTCAGTTAATAATATTCGGATGAGAATCTCTAGTGAATGCTTTTGATTAATTTTGTATCTTACTCTGATTAATTGTATAATTAATTAAAATTTCACATGACCGGTCTAATTAATTTCAGGTGTTGCGAGACACCTGGGTGCAAGGCAAAGAGGCTAATATCCAAGTCTCCACCCCCATGCCTCCGCCAGAGCCTCAAACTCATCAGCCGATTGCTCATCCACCCCCAAGGCCTCACTTCCACAGACAGATGTCAGGTGGTGGCGGAGACAGTGTTCACCTTGTGGTGCCTCCAGTGCCCCAGGCGCACCACACTGTCACATTCCCACCATTCCCATCTGAAGCAGGCGCATCTCTGGCCGAGTGGAAGGAAAAGGTGAAGTTGGCCACATTCATGGTCCACTATTCAGAGTACTTCAGGATGATGAACAAGCATTGAAGTACATTTTAAGTTTCGGCACCACATTTTTCAAATATTGACCTTCCAGATTTGATGAAATATTTATTTTGATTGAATTTGAACCATTTGATAATAAAGAAAACACAAAATTAATGAATTCAAATTTCATTTCAAAATACACATAGTAAAATATTAAAAATAATTTTTATCGTTTTTAACATGGGGCAAAAATATTTATATCTTTATTAAAACGTATCTAAAATCTTGTCAAAAAATTAAAAAATGGCATACGTTTTTAATTGTAATTTCAATTCAAGAAGAAAATTTCCATAGTTTCAGTTTGATTTTTACGTTTTCATTTCTCGCTTCCTAGCAGTACATCAGTATCAGTAAAATAACTCAAAATGTAATCATTAGATTTGAATTGATAAATATGTGAATGGTGAAATAACCTGTTGGAGCATATTGGGGAAAACAAAGCGGACTGTAAAAGGAAAAATAAAAAATTTGGTTCTCATCTCCACGTTTCCATGGAGGTGCTAACGTGCGCCGGCTGCCTCTCCCGAGCGGCACGGGCGTGCTGCTCGCGGGGGTAGTGGGGCAAGGGAGGCACTGCACCGCCCGAGACCGGGGGCAGGAGGGCAAAAGTGGTGCTCACTCGACTTGGGCGCGGTAGGGGTGGCGTCGAAGAAGTATCGATTGCGCGTGCAGCAGCTCCGGGGGTGGTAGGGGAAGGAACGCGGCAAAAGCGGCCGCCAGAAAAGAGAGGGTGGGAGCGAATTCTCAGCATTGGCGCAAGTCGGATGGCCGTACGTGTGTTTCTCCAACACACCACCCGACCTTAAGCACCACAGACACCGCTCGGTCGCTCGCTGAGGCAGACGCACCCGCCAGCAGCCCTTTCAGAGATAATGTATAAGTGATGAGGCTAAGGGCTGCCGAAAGCTGTTATTGCCTGATATTTGCCCTCGCCGAACCGCAATGACAGCTATCAATGCTCGACGGATAGGCAGCGCGGTTTTGTGTTGTCTTTTAGTGCAGCTGCTGACCAGCGGGCATGATGTTTTGGCCGCCGACTCAGACACCACTGCAGTGGGCGCCGAAGCCACCCCTCCGTCCCCCACGGACGGCTTCGAAACAGGTATGAAAACCATTCACACTTTCCGTTGCTTCTTCTCTCAAGAAGACTTTTCTCTCTTTATTCTTTTTTCCGTCTTTCCGATTTTCACTCGAGTGGGAAAATAATGCGGCTTATTTCGCTTGCCCACTTCATATATTGCGGTTTTTCCGGCGGAGCGCGTGCCGCCGCCGCCGCCGACTCCTCGTCTCCAAGCTTTGCTTGTTTATTACTGCGGTACTGTGGAGAAAAGTCGCTCGTGAGAACTGCCTTCACGCGCCCCTTGAAAGTGTAATTTGACAAAATAATGTGGTTCTATAATCGCCATCGCCAAATCTTTTCGTACTGCAACGCTTAAAGCGTTAATATTAAAATATCTCATAGAATTTGCTTAAAAAGTCTTTCTTTTTTAGATCGTTTTGTGCTTTTTTTTTTAGCTAAAATGAAAGTTAAACGTAAATTGGTTGTCTAATAATTTAATTGATGGGTTTTGAATCCAAAAAAATCTCTAGCTAAAGCAAGACCTAGATTCTAATTCATCCATTCACACACTGCACAAAAATATTGGAAAAAGGCTAAAGCATAACAAATATCTCTGAAATGTTTAGTAAACAAAACATAATTGTTTACTACCCTTGCACTTTCCGCTGCAAATAAACTTGTTTAATAATTGTCGTAGAATAGTAAATTCTGTATTTTGTGAATAGTTATAACTTATGTTTTATAACTAATTTTTTTATGGACTCCACACTAAAACTAAGTATGGTTGAGATTCTTAAAGTTCATCCAAACTCATGATTTGTTTAGAAATTTTTATCCTTCTAATGGATTATTATTCAAATTCGCAGCGCAGTCGTGCAATTAATGAAATGTAAACAACAACACCAAGCATTTGCGTAAAAGCGGCACTTGTGGAATTACAATGGTGGTCTTTCTCGGTCGAAAAAAGGCTCAACAGCACCTCCTGCATGATGCATGACCAGAAAAAAAAGAAAGTGACGATTTCGGGGCTCAGAAGCCGGGCTTTTTTGCGCCGCCTGGAGCGGATTTTCCAGGCTCAGCCGTGTTTATATGTGTGAATTTCTGGCGGAAAAAAACTAATGGCAACAACTAATTAGAAGATCTGCCAGGATAAAATGAGAGTGAAAGAGTGACAAGGTAATTTGCAACTTTGTCGCATTATATGTTTCATCACTGGCCTATTTAAAGCCTTTAAAAGATTTATTAATGTACCGGCATATGTATTAAATAACTAATCTCGTCGAGCTTTTGTATGAAATTACTAATTACGATCTTAATCGCCCATGACGTCACTCGTGCAGGGAAATTTCCACCCGACTATAGAGATACGTTTGAATACATGAATTTTCCATTGCTTCAAATGTTGAAACAACTTGCAGTCTCTCACTTGTTTTGTTTTGAACTAATTGTGAAGGGACGCTGGGAAATAAAAATGCACATTTTTTATTCCACGGTGAGTGAGAGAGTCGTCAAAGAAAATGCAAAACTTTGCACAATGGCGGAATGTAATGAATAAATTACCGAGTGCATTGTCAAGAAGTGCGTGCGGTGGTGCTTTGCATAGAAACAGATTCAAGTGCCCAACGGAAAGGGGAGAAGGAAATAAAAAGTGTCAGGCCACAGGTTTTGCTTTTTTATCGGGGTGAAAATAAATATATAAGAGGGCGCCACTTGTTCCAAGCGCGAAAGGGTTGCAAAAGTGTCTCGAGGGTTTTGCCGTTCGCCAAGCTAATTTGTCTCCAATTTCTTTCTCTGGTGATGAATGCGTGTTTGTTTGGGGCTACTAGAACGTGAGGCAAACTCTCTCCTGCGCTCACATTCACAATGGGCTCGTTTTGCAAAATGAGCCGCGAGACGTCTGAATAACTCTTGCAGGAGACAAAAGCGCACGATTGTTTTGTCAAAAAACGCAACGCACGCACGACCGATGCGTGGATTTTGTGCTTTCCAGCCCCGCTGGCACTTTGTCTACCACTGTTTGTGGAAATACGGTCTTGTTTTGTTGTGTATTGTTCTGTGGCTCCTTTCATATTTACGGCAACAAACACGCATTTCCGTTCTTCCTAAATGTTGATCTTTTTTGCTTTAACGATAGTCTCTAAATTGACAATTTAGTAGATTGGACTAATAAAATTTCTGCATCGATTTTTTTAATGTAATATTTTTATTGCAGTATACAAATAATAAATTTAAATTGATTAATTTCTTAATCACACTGACTAAATTTTTTTAATAACAAGCAAAGCAGTTTGAAAGAATTTACAACAACACAATTTATTATGATATATGATTTTCCTTTAACTACTTATAAATAATTAAAACTGGGCTGAATATTTAAAAAAAAAAATAATTTAGTTAAAGGTTTTTTCAGTTTTAGCTATTTGGTTATGATTTATTGTTAAATACCAATTTATTTGCGAGTTATAAAAAACTACTATTTTCAAAATTCATCTATGATATATTTTTCTGATGCATTCCAATAAAAAGTTTAAATCATTACACAGACCTTGCGTTGCAATGAAGTGTCATCAGATCAATGGAAATTTTAAGATTTTATAATCTAAATAACTATCTCTCTTTTCTTTATAAAATGATTAAAATGTCAATTTGAATTTTTTTTCTTGAATTTTCAAGAAAAAATTGAATACATTGTTATTAAAAATTTTATTTTTGTATCTAGACTCACCAAAATGTTAATAGCTTCAACCAAAATAGCGATCAGGTGGAATGAAAGTAAACCCATCCAATTTAGTTATTTCAAAGCATGTTTTCCACTTTAATCAATAGTTGAACTTTCCCAGCGGAACAGTGGAATTTCAAAGCAGTTGCAAACACAGCACGCCATTTGAAGGCTCTTTCAGAAAGCAAGGCTAATTTAATGCGCTTTACAGCTGCTCTGGCCAACCGTCAGTAGCTGAAAGTAAGCGAACCTTCGTTGTTACACTTTAGAGCAACCACTATGTCTCTCTGTCCCTGCAGCGCACAAAGTTGCAATTTTCTCATGACCAGATTAAGAAACCGCTTTTGTGCGGACGGAGCGAGATGAAGCGCGCGTGCGGTACCAAGGGCGGTTTGTTTTACCAACTGCGCGAGCAGAGGGATGAAAGGAGCCTCATTTTAGTTAAAATACAAATACACCGCGCGAATTCATAAAGGGCAGTGACATTTTCCTTTTATGAGCACTAAAACTACACTTCTTCCTATTTCCGTCGTGGGAAAACAATCCTTCGCGCTGTCTACTGCTGATTAATAAAATAAAAAAATCTAGACCGAGTGGGTTTTTTTTCTTGCGTGCCGGCAATCTTTGGGAAAAATTGCACCCTACCCCTCTGGCTCTAATTTTTGTCCAACTTTATCAGCGACGCCATCGGACTTTTTCTGTACATAGGAAACGCAGCGGTTGCTTTTTGTAACTTCGTACTGGCTGGTATGGGGAAAATAATGCTCTAATTTGGGCCGACGACGTAAAATTTGAAAACAAGGTCCGTATAATAGCAATAATAATGGGCGCACGTACGTATCGACTCACGTACGCTTGAATACGACAAAAAATATGTGTCGGCCGCGGTTATTATTTTAATAATTGTGGTGTTGAAACCGCGGGAAAAGGTTCTCCTTTTAACGACGCCTGGTCGAATTCCACCCAGAGCACCTTCGTTTCATTTCGTCGGTCAGATTATGCTTCCTCGGCTTCAGAAGTTCATAACTCATGCAGTTTGTTTACGACCTGTTTTCCTCCATTTCTGTGGCCTAACCAATAATGCTCAATATTCCTACATAATATTAAAAAGAGTAAATTTAATTAAAAAATAAATTTTACAGTATTATTGTTTGTAAAATCTTTTTCTTGTAAGATTTTTTCCTTTTCATATTTTTAATAAAATATTTAATAGTTATTTTGTTAAAAAAAGCTTCTATTATTTAAGATGTGTTGGTTTTATTATATTTTCAATTATTTAAATTAAATTATATGCATAAAAAGTTCTTTTGTTTTAAATAATGAGTTAACACGGAGTGTGCCAAATTCAATTAGATATTGTATACTAGCTGCTCTCCAACTAAACTGTTCATCTGATAAAAATTAAATTATGTGCAAGAGAACGCAGGAAAAATTTATAATTAAAACTTCATGAACTTGTGAAGAAACTACTTCGGTTCAAAAAGCCAATCCACGGAGTATATTATTGTCAACCCCTCGCATAATTAAAATCGATCGGCAAATAAATTACTCCGATAAGAATGCCATTACCATCGATTGATCCACCGCAGGGACTCTATAGACTCCATTTTTCATAATAAAATCTCACTTTTACATATTTCTGAAGGCTGCACCATCTGCAGTAAAACCATTAGCTGGATATTTTTGAAAAGCACCATAAATAGAATATTTCCCGATTTATGTTTCTCTGCAACACAAATTTATGATAATTGAACGCATTGTGAGATAGGACTGGTGGTGCTCTAGAGAACAAACAGAGCGTCAGAATGCGCTCGACTTATCTTCTGTTTTATTTCATCGCCGACCGACTGCGTTTGTCCGCTGCGAGTGAATGAGCAGCTCATTAATGTGCCACAGACAATCGATGCCATTTATCGCCCCAAACTCACTCACTCTCGCGAACCCTTTTCTGTTTGCGAAGCGCCAGTTTTATGCTCTCCCGAGCCAACAACACAGGCTCTGTGTGAATAATCTGCTGACAAACGCCCGTTCTGACTCGGAAAAATAGAGAGAGAACGGCGGAAAATCGATTTGTTCCTCGGCAATGACGGTGCGGATTAGCGTGCGTGAGCGAAATTTCAAATAAGTTTACTGTACATTACGTAAGCCTTTCAAAATAAATATTTATCTAGCCTATAAAAAAAACACACACAAGAAAATTGTAATAAGAGTTTCTTTCATAAAGGCAAGATAAAATGATTAAGTGATAAAACGGGCTTCGTCCTTGTTGAAAAGTATTAATCCTAAAATTAAAACTAGTAAAAAGCCTATTTTTCACGTCATG